ACGTGACTTGCACAGCATGATCAGAAACAGTCCTTTCAATCATAAAGAGGACCATTTCAGCAGAAATATTTAAAGACTGTTTTGCCAAGGGCCTCTCTTTATTATCAGATGTTCAGATCATGCTCTTTTAAAGCACCTCTAACATTGTCATCCTTCCATTTTTCTCTTAATTGTTAACTGGCGTAACTCCACCAACTTTTCAATGGTCCATAGTGGGTTTGAGCAGTTCTGCAACTTTGCCACCTTCAACTTTCTGAGATTCTGCTTTGTCTTTATTTATTTTTGCAGTATTTGCACTTCTACTCTGCAGTGCAGTTGCTGTTTTGTTTTGTTTTTGCCTAGAAATGCCAGATGGTCCCAACAGTCAACAGAGACCAGCTGACAAAGACATGGACCAGGTAGATGCTAGTGTTTTGGAGGGAGGCTGTTAAGGTGGACACTAACCTTGCGAGTAGTCAGCTCCATAGCGGCTGTTTTTATGTTATGGTGACTTTTATTTTTCTCAGGGACTCAGAGACATTGCTACGGAGGACACACTGCATTTGTTTGTGGGTCTGTCTGCCCTGCTAGATCAGGAGCTCCTTGGGCACAGTCAGGGGTTTGGGCTCCCCAGACACTGTCTGTACTTCATGTTAAATAAATGAGTGAATGGCCCAGGTCAGACTCACTTTTTTGTGTCTTTTGACTGGAATTCCTCCAAAAGTCTTTCAAGGTCCCTGTACACCTCTCCAGATCACAGCTTTACTCTCAGTCCTGCCTCAGTCCTTAGGCCTTTCTGAAAAGAACACTGCCCGTTTGGAAAGAGCCAGGGGCCCTTTACCCATGGTTTTGGGGTGTTCCTATTACCATCCTGTCAACTTTTCTGGGTGGTAATCTTCTCTTCATGCTGATGTCCAAGGATGAAAGAGGATTAAGGGAAAGGGAAGAGCAAACCCCTCAACCCTCTAGATTTTCCACCTTAATTCAGGAAATAGTTATTAAAGTGCCTACATTGTGCTTCTTCCATGAGGACCGTAGGCCAGCGGCTCACAAAGAAAATACCCTCTGGGCAGAGAGTAGGCAGTTTGTCACCAAGTGGGGCTCCGGTGACTCGTCCCTGCCCTTCAGCTCATCTCTCCCTTCCCTGCAGAGCTGTGCTTCCCTCCCTGCCTCTGTTTCTAGTACCTTCCACTTCTTCCCTATCCCATCCCATCCTGCTGCATGAATACCATCCCGTTTTCAGGATTCAGCTGAAGCAATTCCTTCCCAATGTAGCATTGCTGATAGACACCCCTCCCCTTCTGCAGAAAGACATCCTCCCAACCCTGTGTCTTTATGTATGGATTCATATCCTAGCCACCTGGCGCGATGCTGACTTTACGTGTCTCCTCCCACTACCTGGAAAGGAGTGGGGGACAGAACCACAACATCGTTTTCCTCTTTGTTTCCCTGGCCCAGTGCTAGGAACACAAGGAGGCACTGAAATGTCTGTTGCAGGAATAAATTAATAGTAATTATTTGTGCACTGTTTTTTTCCCCTTCGTGCATAGCCTGAAAATTCCAGGAACTGTTTGTCTCTCACCTCTACCACCAGCCGTTAGTTTGCCCCAAGGAGATGTCCAGTTGGAATGAAAATGAATGATTGGCTTTCCCTTGGGATGCTGTTGCATCCTTAGGCGTAAGATCAGGACTGTCCATCTCTTGTCCTGGCATTGAAGAGCCTAAGTCTTAAGACTGACAGCTCTGCTTTGTGGAACCCCAGAGCTGTGGGAAATCTGCTGGAACATAATTTGCAGAAGACATATTGTTGAGCTTAAGGAGACCTCCTGTAATTACCAACACAGGGAATTGTTGAGTCATCTTTGAACACTACCTCCCTAGAGACACCCTGTGTGGCACTTACCTTTGTGAATTTCCAAGCCCGCATTTGCTTCCCACCCTTGTCTCATTTGCCTAAAACTGAATATCTGTTCAGTAACCCAGAAGGCATGAGACCCCAGACAGAAATATGTAATGATAGTTTTTACTTTTTGCATCATTTTGTTGGTTAAATTTTGCCTCCAGTACATCTTTGAAATATAAAAAGTATTATCCAATTTCTGGTTTTCTTTCCACTCTTGAGCATATAACAAGGCAGAAGTTGAATTGATGTTAACACCCTTGTTTGGGCTCCATGGAGCCTGTGTCTGCTCTGAAGATGTTTGTCCACCTTGACTTTGTCAGCAATGGCGTGGTGGGTAGTGGGCTTCCACCAGGTAGGGTACTCTCTTGTTTGGGGACAGTTTTTGCTTTGAAGGAGCTTAGCTGGAGCTAAGGTCTGAGTCTTCACAGGCAAAGGCCACTTCTCTAGTTCAAAATGCAGATGTAACATTCTACACATAACAGCGTAGAGGTCTTATATCAGAAAGAGGCTTACCACTGATCACTAAAAAAATGCAAGAGAGTAGTGGTTGACTGCTTTCTGTGCAAGTTGGAAAACATGGTAAGGCTGGACACCCCACTGACATCAGTTATTCAGTAAATGTTTACTGGGTGCCTACTGTTTATAAGACACAAGGCTAGGAACTTGGATTATAAAGATGAATAAGACAAGAGCCCTCCGGAGAGTTCTTGGGAGAGGGGAGGCAGACACATAAACAGATAATTACAAAACCCGAAACATGCCATCAGGGGAGAATGGTACCTTGAAGAGAGTCTGAGAAAGCTTCAGCAAGATGAGTGCTTTCGAAGGAGAGAATGAGGGAGAACTCTCTAGGTGGAGGTCAGTAACGGCACATGCAAACAGAAGGAAGCACAAGGGGCCTCATTTGCATGCAGAAGGCTAGAGCATGAGTGTCTGAGGGGAAGTGCCGCCTGATAAAGGCTGGTGTGGGTCCCCTGAGAACCTCGGTGAGAGCAGTGCCCACCAAAGTCACATTTGTGCCTCTTCTCCAGTGTCCCATGGTGGACGCCTGGGACTGGTCATCGAGCCTTACTGTGGGGTCTGACCTGCCTCTTCTGCATCCCAGCCTGCTCTCCAGATAATCTGTCTTCTCACATCATCTGGCGATGACCTGGTGCTCACAACATTGCAAAGACTCCATTTTCAGAAGATTTGCAACAGAAAATAATTAGAGAAATAGGCACTGTGGGATACTTTGGGAGCATTTATTTTTTTCAACGAAGGTGATATACATGGCTCTCAAACCAAGCAATTAAAGAAAAAGCAGCTGCTCTAGCTTCCCCAGGGACTAGACCTTTAAAATTTTTGTGACAGAGAAAATTACTTGGGGAAAAATAGACATAAATGTCCAAGGAAGCTCTTCAAATTTGAAAAACTGGGAAAATTTAAAGGCATTAAATTATCATGAAAACTTGACTACATTAATTTTGAGTAGGCCAGACATAGAGCTAACTCAGCAAGTCCCCACCAACTCTCTTGGGTGCCGAATGAAAAATTCTGTGTGTTCTTTTTAAAGGCACACGGGGCACCTTTCTTGTGTCCAGGGACCGTGGGGCTTGGGTACTTCGTGTCTGACGTTACCCTAATGCTCATCCTCTTGACTTAACTGCGGAGCAGCTGATTTCCGCATGTGAGTGTTGAAGAGGCTCATTGGTCCTCACCTCCCTGCTCAGGATCAGATATATCTGCTCATGGGAAACAAATCCAGGCTTCACAGCAATAGACTGGGATGGTACCACATCTGTGTGCATAATACTGCATTTCACCGTATCATGCTTCAGTTCATTTGGTGTTTCCTGTCATTAAGACTCTTTGGAAAGGATTTATTGTTTTTATGATTTCACACAGTGCTTGCTGGGGCCCCCCTTGTATGTGAGCATGCCCCCTCCCTTCCTGAGCACCATTGCTCCGTGGGACATTCTCCCTTCCCACGCAGAGGTGTATTACTGATGTCTCTGTGCCTCCGCTTCCCCGTGAGGTTCAGTCTCCAGAGGTCAGAAGCAGGTTCTAGCTATTGCTCGTGTGATTTTGCTTTCTTTACCCAGAACATACCTCTCCTCAGTCACAGCCCCACTCTTCCTCAGAGAATAGGTCCTTGACTGGGTTCGGTTTTATGCCTTCTATCAAACATCACCAACAGACTGTGAAGCTGCATGTTCTTCCTCTCAGAGGACCATGGCTGCAGAATTCGTAAGCATCCCTGTGGCTCACCTGAAGGTTCTCTTCATCCCCCCAGATTTCAGGAGCATGCAGAAATGTTTGGGAATCAGCTGGGGAGGGTTTTCAGCGCCTGCACTATTCCCATCCCTGTGCTTGTTTTCTTTCTTTGGTCATTCAATCAGCAGGGCTTAAAGGGCGCTGGCCTGGAGCTTCAAATCCATTCAAGCAGGACCTGCACAGGGAGCCTGAGCCCATCACCAGGTTGGGGACTATGCTTTCCAAACCTTTTCTATGCCTTATTTTTAAACATACCATTTAACAAAGAATTTTTTAACTCTTCTAAGAGTATCAAGGTAATGTTTTTTGGATGCCGAAATATCTCTGTGTTTTCAGTGGCCTCTGGATTATATCAGACAGAATATTTCACAGGTGGTGTGGTTTCCAGTCATCAGAATCAGTCCCGGCTGCCTCTTTAAAACTTCATGTTTTAATTTTTCCCTTTCCTTTCAGGTAATCTTGGGCAGGTGATTTTATAAGACATTTAGCACCCAAAGTCTTTTGTTTCCCTCAGTAAGAAAAATGTTTTAAAAACGGAAACATTTGAGTATCACTATTAGCTTTATTCATCTAGGGCTTTAAGTTTGATATTCAACTTTCGCGATGCTTGAACACTTGGCCTAAGGTGGGGGGCCGGGTGAGGCTGAACTGTAAGGGCTCCTTTGGAAACAGGGCAGGAATCTAACGAAAGCTCGACAAATCCAAGGCTTCTATGTACATTTGGCAGTTCCTTTCCAAGAAAGTTTTCTCACTGCTGAAATGTGCTTCAGATAGGACCTCTGTGTCCCCCAGGGCTGGGCGGTTCACCCAGTCCCTCACTCTGTGACGCTCACTGTGATTTCCTCTGCTGTCTGTGTTCCAGTCCCCGTCTCCTGGCAGTTCCTCACCCCTGGGTGCAGAGTCTTCGAGCACACCCCTTCATCCCAGTGACCCCACGGAAGCCTCCACAAATAAAGAGGTAGGGTACCATTTTGTTTCAAAAGCCATCAGCCCGTTATGTCTTATTCTGTTTCTGGTTTATGCTTTCTCCAGCCTCCAACAGAGCTGCCGACCCAGATTACCCTGCGGAGAAAAATTCTGATCTCTCCAGCGTGGAATTCGGTGATAAAGCCATGCCATCCAATTTGACAGCCGCTAGCCACAGGTGTCTATTTTAATTCATAAATAAAATGAAAAAGTCACCTCCTCAGGCACACTAGCCACATTTCAAGGGCTCGGCAGCCACACGTGACTAGTGGCTATTGTACTGGAAGCAGAGATTACTGAACATTGCCATGATGGCAGAAGCTTCTCTTGGACGTGGGACATCAAAAGCTCTGTTTAGCAGCATCCTTCCTAGAGGTGTTATGAGCCTCAGTGCCATGGCATTACAGTTGCTCTGTGGTTTGGGAAATGGGCTGGTTTCTTAAATACTAATTTATTTCAGGCCCAAGTGAAATATCTTTCATGACAACAGGATGACTGCTTGTCCTGGCTTACCTGGGGTGGTTCCGGTTCACACCTGTTGTCCAAGCAGTACACCTGGTGAGCACCCCGTCTCACGTTTGAAAGCAGCAGCGCTGTCCAGGAGAACTTTCTGTGATGCAGGGAATGTTTTACTTCTGGACTGTCCCATATGGTAGACACTACCACGTGTGCCTAGCAAGCCCTTGAGGTGTGGCTAGTGGCACTGAGGAAATGAATTTTGCATTTTATTCCATTTAAATTAGCTTAAATAGCTGTGTGTGGCTAGGGGCTGCTGGACAGTGCAGCCTTAAAGTGTCTCTTTGGACAGCAAATCGTATGGTCACCCTACTGATGGAGGCCATGCTGAGCACTGGCAGAGAATATTGAAGACAGAAGATGCTGCTTTGCTCCCACTAAGGGTTCTGGGGCTAGAAACGGGCAGGTGTTTTTCCCCTGAGAGGGAGCCATTGCCCTCTCCAGCACCTGTTGTCCTTTGACACCTGACTAACTGCTACCCTCACCTACTTATGAACTAGCAACAGGTAAACACTGGCCTGCACCATCATCTGTGTGTGGGCTCAGCTCATTCTAAATCGAGATGCTGCCTAAGCAACACTGAGGACAGGCGTTAAAGAGCTAAACCACACGATGAATGATTGTCTCATTTTTCCTTCCTTTTGCTAATAATTTTCCATTAAATTCGATGGAAGAAAGTGACCTCCATTTTAACCTGAGTGGCAGATCGCTTCTAAAAGGAGTCTTAGTTAAAATTTACCCTTAAAATATCATTGAATTCACATACGTTTGCCATTAAATATTCATGCGGAGGAGAAGTATTTTTTTCATTAATCTATTCATATTAAACCAAAGAAACGTGAGGAGACCTTCTCTGAAACGGCACCGACATTAGAATTTAGATTTGAAATATGCTTTGTCCTTCTCTGGTCTTCACCAGGCCACAGGAACTGGAGTAATGGGCTTACGGTTTCTGCTGGCCCTGCATCCTACAACGTCACCTTGTACTTTATTCATAGCACACGAATAGGTAAGAACAAATGGCAAGAAGAAAAGCCACAGTGATAATAACAGTAATGAGAGTTACCATTTCTTGAGCATTTATAGTGTTCAGGCACCAGGCCAAGCAAGTCACATAGTATCTCATTTAGTCCTTAAAATACTTCTGCGAGGTAGGAATTAATGTCCTCATTTGTTAGTGGAGGAAGCTGAGAGGTTAAGTAACTTACCTGAGGTCCCAGATCTCACATGTGGTAGGGCCAGGTTTTGAATCCAGAGCTCAGGAGAGCCCAGGCTCTTAACACCAGAATCTGCTATCCTTGCAATGAAGAGTACTTGCTGGTCACACACTGAATGGACAGGGTAGCTTGCACGTTATTATTGCAGTTTTCAAGCCTCCGGACTCTACACATGGTTTATGTGACCTCCTGGAACATCCCAGAGATTTGGCCTTTAAGTTCTTGAATGTGGCTTTATTAATTCTTGAATGTTAAGGATCAACTAATGTTCATCTCTGTCCACATGTGGGAAAACACAGGGCTAATCAGACATCTGATTTGATTATTCATCAGATATAATAAGCAAGTTTCTCATTTGGCACACGTTTCTGCATATCTTTAGAAATAACGATGAAAATCCTCTTTGTGTGCAATAATTAGAGATTAGAGACTCTTTTGTTTCACAAAACTCTTTAAAAAAAAATTTACTACCCCAGAGATTAAAGAAAGCCAGTCATGAGTTCATGAATAGAGAATAAGTGAATGTACCAAATGCCCTCCGTTGTGGCTCTAAATAAAACAGCAGCTTTTAGAGCCATAGACTAAAGCAATTCTTTTGTAGCATCTGCTAAAATCTAAATCTAATAGCCCAAGAAAATATAAATATAAATTGGCTTCTTGGTTGTACCTGGAGGCTAAACCATTTTGATTAGATGAAGTAAAGCCCTCATTGCCCCTAGATGCTGAGGGCAAGGACAGGGAAATGGTTGGGGAATAATAATCTAAAGGTCTTTGGCTCTTATGAAGAAGCTAGCTTTCATCTGCATACCATGAAGTTACGGATTTTTTTTCCTTAAAGCAACAGCGTTTAAGCCAACAGGCGCTCAGCTGGGCCTATCTTCTCACTTGAGTAAATGGAAAGTAAAATTAATGTGAAGCACCGTTGAAATTGGAGTCCTCTTTTCTCCTATCCACATAATCTTGGCTTTCACTAGGTGTGCCTCTTTCCATAAATGCATTAGCAGCCAGTAACTTTTCGTTCCTGGTGATCTTGTGTCCTTAGTTTCTTTAAGGGTGATCCTTTCTGAAACCAGAAACCCACCCTCTTTGGTGTGAGGAACCATCTCATCCCAGTGAGCACATCTGCAGCAGGCTTGCTGAGATTGGCCTGCATTGTGTATTGTGTGATTAGTGTTGAATTCTTGCCATTGTCCTGGGTTGAGCTTAGAGTCTTAAAATGGTTTCTTCGACTGCCTCCAATTTTCACATAACAATTAACATTAATATTTTTTAGAATGTTGTGCAAATATTAACTAATTAATCATTCCTTAGCCATTCCCATCTTCCAAGTGAAGAGCACTGTATAAAGTGCTATGATATGGAGTTGTTTCCCATGATATACCAGCCATCATCTAGGGCCCTTCAGTCTTCGAGTCCACTAGGCACCTCGGAGTATACCATCAATTCAAGTCAACCTACTGAGCAGCTATGTTGTACTAGGTAGTCTTGTTCTGAAATGATCACCTAACACCTGGTAGATTCTTGGCAATGAAAATCTTTAGGTTTTTTGAAGATAACCCGTGGCCATGCAAACCCTGATTTTGCCCATTTTAGGGACTCTTGTCTTTTACATTAGCTCTCCACTCTCCTGTAATGCTCTCATCACCCTGCCCTAGACATACCAGCTGCAAATTCTGTCACTGGTTGGAGCAGGAATGAATTACCTATTCTTATTCCACTGAGAGTTAACTCTAGGACATTTGCTTGTGAAAGAAACCAAGTGGTAAGTACTGCTCCTCTGAGAGCTAGCATTTAAACTGCCATCCAATCAGGTTCTAGAAGGTTTCTAGCTGATTATATCCACTTCCAAGGATGCTCTGGGAGACTGACCTTTGCTATGAGGTTTTACTTAGTATAAGAAATTCCAGGGTTTTTAAATTACCTCTTTGTTTATTGGGTTCTTATTTTAAGGTAACACAATAATAACTTATGTAATGGATTTTTTAAACTAAAATACATAAGTAAGGGATGAAAGGAAGAGATAAAAACTGTAGCAATCATTTTTAGCACAGTTAGAGATCAGTGCAGCAAAGACATAAAGTGGAATAAAATTCTCAAAGGGAATTCTTAATTTTAGCATATAATCATTTCATTGGTGCCTTTACTAATTGGCAGTTTCTCACTTAGACACCCAAATTCTTAAGAATACAAATTGAGTCCTTTTTATTGCTATTACTGATTATGAATTTTGGTCCATGGGTTATTTTTTAAGATGACAGACATCTCTCTGATTGTAGAATGTAGGATTTTTAGATTATCTAAAATATGAATGGATGGTTCTGGGCTTTGGGTAACCTTTAATAATAAATGCATATGTTTATTCACACGTCACTTTTTGTAGCCCAAAATGGTTGACAACTGGTTAATATCTGTCATTGGGGATGTATTTATTTTTCATGTTGCACAGATGGCTGTGTTAATGCATTTTTCATCATGCTTTGCCCTTTTTGAAACCTCTTTGTCTTAATTGCAGTCAAGAAAAAGCTTGGCTTCATTCCCAACCTACGTCGAAGGTAAGAGCTGAGAAGGAAATATTGAACACCGAGTCATTCATGAATCTTCTAGCATTTTGGGTATTGGAAGCCCTGGGCTGTAAGACGATAGTGGGGAAAAGAGACCACAGAGTCACCTATTCTCAGTCTTAAGTCTTAGAATCTTAGACTAAAACAGCAGTAGCCGTGAACCTCTCAAAGACCCTCCTCCCTGCCTTTGCTGATTCTGTCCAGGAGACTCTGAGGCTGGGGGCTTTGCCCAGCCTAGAACTGGCCATATTGGATCCAAAAGCCAAGTCTCCTTATCTCTAGTCCAATATACCTCTTGCATCCATCAAGGCCCATTCAAATGGGAATGATGTTTAACTAAGGGAGAGATTCTGCTCTTCATTTAAAAAATAAATAAAAAGACCTTCCCAGTAATTCCCGTCTCTTGCTTGGATGAGCTGGTGATAGTCACATTTATCAAGCTCTTTCTCACTGTCTGCCAGGTACTGTTCTAAGCACTTTCTAGGTAATAACTAACTGAATCCTCGCGCTGACCTTGTGAAGTGGGCTGCATCATTATCCCCGTGTTATGCACGAGAGAACTGAGGCATGCGGGGTGTGAGCAACCTTCCCAAGATCCCACAGTTAGAGTAGCAGAGACAGGCTGGGAACCAGAAGTCTGGCTCCACCATTCTCCCGGTAATCAATATCCGATGCAGGGCCTTTGTTTTCTGCCACACAAATGTTGATATTATGCAGGTCCTACGGCTTCTGGCGATTTGCTTGTAGTTTGGTGTTCCTGGCAATATCTTGTCACCTAGTTTTGTTGCAAATATGTTCCAGTGGTTTTTGGTTTCCCTATCTAGTTTCTTTGTTTTAGGTGGTGATTAAGAGAGAATAAAAAACTATGCTACTATGACCATCTTCTTAGAACCCTCCAAAGTAGTTTTTTAATGCTAAACAAATTATGTAAATGTTTGTCTAACACCCTCCTCTGACTTCTCAATTCCTTTATAATAAAATTACAATTTATTAACCTAAAAAAAAAATATCTGATGCAGGACCGCCACACATGGTTGTGCAGGTTGTTCACTGCACAAATGTATCCTGTCAACAAGCCTGGTGGGGCCACAACTCAGTCCAGGCTAGACATCCCAGCTTGAGGTCAGGCCACACAACTGGAGCGTGCTACTGATCCTCTACCAGGGAGGACAGCAGATGATTTGGGGGGCAGGGTAGATTGTCATTCCCTTGAAGGAGGATTTTCTGGGAGCCAGAGGATGCCCAGACATCGTGTCTGGCCTTTGGATCCTGTGCATGAACCGTGGGTGTGTTCCACTGCCCAAGAATGAATTACCTGGATTCATAAACCTACCTGAACCCTTGGGCCTGAAGCCCAGGACAAGCTCATAGGTTTGGTTGTTACTCAGGTTTCTTTCTTGAGTAACTTGGAAATTATTTCCACCATCTTTGCAAAGCTCCAAAACTCCACAAGAGTACCTCGGGGAGTTTTCAGAAGTTGACTGTTTCAGAATAGTCAAAACTATTCTTCACATCCATTCCTCTAGGCCTAGAGATTTTCAAGCTCGGCATTAACATGAGTGTGAAGATATAACGTGTGTGCTCGTTCACCCACAGAGCAGCATAAAGGCATCACTGAAAAGGAAAACCTGCAATTCTTTGACTCAGGACCATTATAACTTTTTTTTTTTTAACTTTTAAAAAATCCACTAGCACTGAGCCTAAAATGAACTTATGAAATTCAGGCTGTTTTTTGTGAGTGTAATACCGTGACATTTGATTTTAGTCAGTTTCCCCAGAGGATAATTGACATAAGATCATATCTCAAATATATATTTGTTTAGCTCCAATAGTTCTGTCTCTTGGCTGCCTGACATTTATACAGTCACTTAAATATTATCTGGATTGCTTTTAAATATATCTGCATATCCGTACTCATTATGGATAAAGAAGGACCCTTTTCAGTAAATAGAGCTAAATCCACTGATGAATATATGATATTGGAAGTCCCATAGAGAAGATGTTGCATTTTTGTTTTTCTTTTAACATTCATTATTTTCACAAAATAAATGGAAGCTTTTTAAAAGTTGCTATTCCAGGTGAGACCTTTTTTTCCTCAATACCGGCTTGTCAAAAATGATTATGTTTGTGTAACATTATAAATCTATCGCTGGAATTTGAGAGAAGACTGATAATCTCTTACTTTTTACAAGGCATAGTGTAGATCCAAACTTGTCCATGTATTATTTTAGTTTGACAGTGCTTCCCTGCTATATACCTAAAGTTGTACATTGTAAATAACCTGCATCCTTCTCACATCTATAAAAGCTTCAGGGTAGGAAGGGTGTAGCTGTTGAGAAGCATGTAAGGGACTGGTATGTGGTGGAGGCAGCTTTGGCTGTGTACCACTCAGTGTTTATCCAGAGTCTCAGAAAGAATGAGAATCAGAAAACTAACAGGTTTCCTGACTTAATTACTACACACACACGCTTTGTGAAGGCCTTTCCTAAAACATTGTTAAATTTCTTTTTTTCTACCACCAACTTGGTTTTAGGAAAATGAATAGATTACTTTAAGGCTGTGCCCTGATAAGTAGCTTATCGTGGGAAGCAGCTGTTTAAGCTCAAGATGAGCTGGATGTGTAAGGATAAAGATAAAAACCATTTCAGATTAGCTCTCCAAGAAGAAAAAGCAAATTGTTTCCATTTCAAATTATCTAATTTACGACGCTGAGGTTTTAACAGTGGGTTAAAAAGTATATTTTAGTCTTTCCAAATATGGCATTCAAGCCAAAGAAAATACATATAATTTCATTGCAGAATTAAAACGCCTTTCTTACTTAGCACATCTGTTGTAAAGTTATATATTATTCCGAAACGTGTTTTAATTTCCAGTAGGGTTTACAGGTGATTGTGGTTAGAATCAGATGTCCCCATTTTAAATATTTAAAACTAAGGTTTGATTTAAAAGGCTGGTGAATGAGAACAGAAAATTCCAGTTTTCCTTGGAATTGATATGTATGTAGACGCAGGCCGGGAACATTGTAGCCTGTGAGTCAGCAAGGTAGCAGCATGAGACCATGGCTTTAGGGTAATGTTACCTGTCTTGCAGATTTCAGGTTAGAGGCTATTTTGGGAATCCAAACATGTGGCAACAAATACTCATTTTTCTGATTTATAAAATTTGTTTCCCCCATTATGGATAAGATGGAAGGGGGTGATATGCATGGGTGGCGAGTAAAGGAACTGCTGTAAAATGAGTTTTTCTAATAAGACGGCCTTCTGCTCACCTAACCATTTGTCCAGCAAACATTTATTTGATACCCAGTGGGTGACAGACACTGACTAGACACGGGACAGCCAGAGATGACTGTGACGAGCTCTTTGTCCCAAAGAGCCCGCAGTCTAACAGGCAAAACAACATCCTTTATCACTGAACTTTATGCTCCATGTTTAAAGAAATATTCACATTGTTTCTCACAATAAATGGACCGGGTGAAATAAGCTTCTCTAGGAAGAAATTGTTCCTTCTATTTGCAAATGAGGGCTGAGTGAAGGTAGACCAGAGAGATGCTCTAGACTCGCAGGTTGATGCACCTGCTCAGGGGTCTCTGGAACTGGCCCACCTGTGCTGGAGGTGAGCAGCGGGGGAGAGGTGGTGTGATTGGGGTGTAGAGCGTGGCTTCACTCACCACTGTGGCTCTGTGTGTTACAGTTCCTGGACCTTGTGACCCTGAGGACTTGATCGATGGAATCATTTTTGCTGCCAATTACCTGGGCTCCACCCAGCTTCTCTCAGACAAAACCCCCTCCAAAAACGTGCGCATGATGCAGGCCCAGGAAGCAGTAAGCAGGATCAAGGTGAGGGGGCACCGTGTGCTCCGAGGGGGGCGGCGGGCAGATGTGGGCGCCTGAGCCGGCCGTAGTGCTCACCCCACACCTCATGTCCCGAGCTTAGAGGAGAGGAGATTGAGGTGACGTGGCAGGCAGTGCTTATACACGTACCTGCCAACAGTTCTAAACAGAAAAAAGATTTCCAAAGTATGCTGGAGTCCTGATGTATAAATGCTACATAATTTGGTTGTTCTTAATGGCCAGTCTTGAGGAAAAAGTGTAAAGCTTTGAAAAGTTGAAAAGGTGAGGAAGGATAACATTGTAAGTGTTATATTTCCAATATAATATGTGAGAGCTGTATCACTGTATTTCCTTGTACGGTTAGAGACCAGTGACTAAAACGTCCGTGATACAGTGTGGTTCCAACTAGCTGTCACTGCATTAGAACCGGTTGATCCTGTTCAAGCTAGGTTGAACTGGCTTGCTTCACCTAAAACGAGCCATTTGATCAGATCTACCCTGGCTAGTCTGAACCAAGTCAGTGCAAGGGTAACTCGGTGCAAACCAGTCATAACCTGTTTGAATCTGCCTTATCAAGATTTAAAAGCAGCGAGCCTATTTGATCCCTGAAGAAGCACTTTTGTCTAGTTTAAATCATTCACAACTAGTTTGAACCAGCCAGAGCTGGTTTGATCCCATGGAAATGCAGAGCTCTAGAATCTCCACCACGATGCTAGTGCCACCTAGAACCACGGACAAGCCAAGGGCGACAGGGACCCCCATGGTGCCATCACGTAATTCAAGTGCCATTAAGTGCCACCAGCACCTAGAACCCCTGAGGCTGTTTCCATGTAGAGCCACAGGCATCGCGTCACCATTGAAATCAGAGCTGGGTGTTTCGAGTGAGTTGGGATAGGTTATGACTTCCCAGATTTGGTTCTGTCTGGTGTCCACTGGCCAGAATCAACTCCCTCCTCAAGCGACCAGTCCCTTTTTCATGTCTTCTCTCTCACACATCCCCAAGTTCCATCCTGGGCTTTGTGTGGCATGTGGAATGAGAAGCACGAGTGGAAGGCCATACGTGAGAGTCCTTTACTGTCTCCATCAAGGGAAGAATATTTCTTGAGCACTTATGTGTGCAAGGCTGTGCAAGGTCCCCTGAGGGAGGGAAAATAGTGATTTGTAAAGTGAGATCCTTACCCTCAAGCTCAGCAGCACAAATGAGAAGTGAATCAAGCCAGCGCACGTGCAGGGGGTGCCAGAGGAGGAGAGAGGGGTGTCAGGAACTAAGGGCCACAGGAGTGCAGAGAGACCTTGAGAGATGAGATGCTGCCTGAAAGCCCAAGGGAGGGGAGAGCAGCAACCACGGAGGTCACAGAGGTCACACAGCAGGGGCCGTGCTTCTGGTCCTCCGGTCGGGGCTGATTCCCATCTTATTCACATGCCCAGGCTGTGCCATGCCCTGAATATTAAACAAGGTCAGCGCTGGCCCTTCCCTTCACTACCCATCACAGCACGGTAAGCCCACACTGCAACTTTTGATAATATTATCGACATTTTAGGAATTAGGATGTGTAAGCCAGAGAGTAATTTACAGCTACATCTTACCCCCAGAGATGCATCTTATCCTGCGGCTCCCAACAAGACAACTCCCTGACAATGTATCAAGCTGACCTTCCTGCCCTCCGCATCTTTCAGACTCAATAATGCTGCTGGTAGAACATCAGGTTCCTGTTGAGCTGCCCATCCAAGCTTGGCCTGATTCTTTTTCACTGTCTCCGTTATCATAAAGAGGTGACAGTAATACCCACAGATATCCCCACAGCCTTCTCCATCTTAATTTAGTATCTCCCAGGCACAACGTTCAGAACAAGAACGCACAAACCTCTCTGAGAGAACAAGCTGCTTTTCAGGCATTGTCCTGCCTTATTTCATACAGAGCAGAGAACTTTAAAAACATAGTCTTTAAGGACGTACTTCTGACCCCTCCTGTCCCACAGTTTCCAAACATGTTATGATTTTGTTACATTAACATTTGCTAAGTAAACCCCCAGGGTGCCAGATGGTGAGCAAAACACCACAAGAGAAATTGAGATAGAGAAGTTTATGACTCACAGGTCCTGGAGGAAGTACCTGCACACCTGGAGGGGCCACGTGGGGAGGTCAAGGCAGGACCTGGGCATAAGCCTTTCTTTATTGGGGTCTGTGGGTGGAATGCTTTGAGGTTGCCAGACTAAGGCCGGATTGTTCACTTCAAACCAAAATGGAGTTTTGGTGAGCTCCATGGGGGTCTTACCTAAGGGGCACCAACGGGGAAGGCCCTGGGAGGCAGGGGGAGACTTGTTCACAAGGGCCATCGAGGGGGGTCCTTTCAGGAGCTTACATTTGCACGTGACTCTGCGGGCTGCTCTCCACAGCATTTGCTTGCATGAAGGAGCCAATGTCATTTTAAGGCCCACGCCAGCTGCTTGGCCAAACCAAATGGATGCTGAGGCAGTAATACCGTGGAGTAACTTAGCTGAACTCTTAACCCAGCACTTAGTTTCCCAGGTTAGTGGTACTGTTAGCTCCCCCAGGGTCAGTGCAAGGACCCGGCGTGGTTCTCTGACAGACGCCCCCTGTCAGAGAACCATGTGTTTGGAAATGGGGTGGTGCTTTTGGTTGTCACAGTGTCTGGGACATTTATATTGGCATTAGTGGCCAGAACCAGAAATACTTGATACCCTGTAATGTCCAGAACGGAGCCACATGACAGAGATTTATCTCCTCCAGAATGCCAGAACACTTCCCTGTCAAGGAACACTACCAGGGCCCATTCAGATAAATCCTCCAGAAGAAAGCAACAGGCCACCACCCCCAGATAGTACTGAAGACCCCTGAGACCAAAAACTGCACGTTGCTTTTAGATGAGTTTTTCCTAGGTTCTGTTTACTGGCCTCTTGACAGGTCCCCTTGACTCCTGCAGTTAGAGTCTCTCTGTCTTTCCCCTGCCCTGTGACACGTATGTGTACTCAGTGACCTTGAGGGAGAGCAGGCACAGACAGACACATCACCTGAACATAGGGCAGCGCTTAGGAAAGATGCCGCATCTCAGTACCAGATCCTGCCCAGTGCCAAGTGCTCTGTGCATTTTCTCATTTCCACAGCGGTTTCTGACAGTGTTTTTCCCCTTCTTTAACGTGCAGCTCCCTAGTGAAAAACCAGAAAGCTTACTTTGAATCTTCAAAGGATTGGTATCCAGAAGTTCCACAGGTCATTTGAACAAAAAATTAGATGGCTTTGTCGATCAGAACAGGCAACACAGAGGCTCTCTGATTATAAATCCATTTTAGACCTGCCTAGAGCAGAGAAAGCATTTGGAAAACGTATATTTATTTTTACAGCAAATTACTCTAGTGTGAGGAACTCATTATAGAGTAGTAAGATTAAATGGTTGCATTTCATTTATAAGTATCGTTTCACAATGTGCTTCTTGCAGCTGAAGGAACTGTTGCCTAACATTAAATATTTTCTGCCTCATGTTCCTTTTACACCGTTTAAATTCCTGTCAGATTGTTTGCCTTTACACCCAGCCTGACACTTTTTCAAATTGTAAGTGGAGAAGGCTGCGTCTAGAACCCATGGTTTATTTCCACGCCCTCTAGAAAGTTACTGTCAGGATCGTGCACAGAGACTGCATTGCGTGCACAGGAAACCGAGGGGCCGAGAGCATTTCTCCAGATCACTCAGGTGGTCTCAAGGGGAGCGTGCACTGCGGTGCCCACTCAAGCTCCCTTCTCTGAGGGAGGTGGTGCCACGCTTTTTCCTAAAGAGAGGCTGCCCTTTCAGGAATGAGTTACTCTGGGCCACCTCTAGAGACACGCAGAACAGAATGAGGCTACAGAGTTTATAGCCACGTCCATCCAGGAAGGAAGGGGGAAAAATTTACTGGGAAGTCCATTCAGTAATAACCTCACCACAGACTGACGAGTAATTCCTGGCTTGGTGCTCTCACCTGCACAGAGACAGAGGAGTTTCCTCCTTCCTTTTTCCGATTCCTTCTTCCCTTCCTCCCCGCAGGGATCCCATCTTGCCCCTCTCTTTCCTCTGCCTGCATTGTTTGTTTGACCTGACGTGGATGCCAGTGAGACCTACCTCACCAGGAGTCCAGTTGTGGCTGTGTGTTTTTGGTGCTTTCTTTCTGAGCAAGCACTGAACCTGACGTTTGGGTTTCCATTTCAAAGCAGGCTTTAATTTCTGGTCTGTCTGTCAATTACATGGTGCCTGTCACTCACATAGCAGCAACCGTGCACTGGAATTGAATAATGATACTGAATTTACACTTGGAGTCTTAAGAATTACGATTTTCCTAATTTAACAAAGAATTTATAGGTTTATTTGCCAAAATGGGAGGCGAATTTGGAGTTGTGGTTTGGCTAGATATGAATTTGGCTCAAAAAGCAAACTGTCCCTGTGCAGGATCCTGTGATAGGCATCTTAGGAGATAAAAATCAACCAATTCCTTGACCTTGAGAAACATGCATTTTAATAAGGGAGCCAAGAAGAGTGTTTAGGTAACAGTAATACAAGGCAGGCTGAGGAATCTGAAATTAAAAGACATTTCCATACACCAAAATGTAAGAAATAAGGTGCATCTGAATGCAATAGCGGAATTACAGGACATCTGCCATTTTTTTTGTTTTTTTTTTTCATCTTTGCACCCTCCCTAATATATTCTTTCTGCCTTTGTTCCTAATTTTTGAGAAGTAGTAATATCCTTCCAGGAAGCTTCCCATATGATTTAGAAATGCATTAGAGCAATGGTCCTCAAAGTGGGACCTGGGAATTTGTTAGAAATGCAGATTCTCAGGCCCCACCCCAGTCAGAAACTCATGGGGGTAGAGACCAGGAATCTGTTTTCATAAGCCCTCCAGGAGACTGTGATGTATGCTATAGTTTGGGAGCCACTGCCTGAGAGACGGGTGGGTCATCCAGCCTGAAGGAGCCTCTGTTCTCCAGCTGTGCTCTGCACGTTCCGGGCAAGCCGAGTGCTTCTCGCTGACGGGGTTCCATTGGCAAATAAGCGCAAGAAACGCTGCCAAACGGATCTTTTTGGGTATTTGCCACATGTGTTTTCCTAGTAAAGGCTCTGAGAAGTCCTGTACTGAGGAAATTTAATTCAGTTTGTTTAACCAGATGCTTCCACAATTACTTGAACGCAGAATACATTATCGCTGTGGTGGTACCTGATAGTCTTGTTGCGAGGATTCTTTTAAACATGTTTTAGGGAAAAATTCTGGAGAGAGCTTTGCCCTACATGCTATCAGTATCAAAAGTGCACTATGGGGCTTCCCTGGTGGCGCAGTGGTTGAGAGTCCGCCTGCCGATGCAGGGTACACGGGTTCATGCCCCGGTCTGGGAAGATCCCACAGGCCGCTGAGCCTGCGCGTCCAGAGCCTGTGCTCCGCAACGGAAGAGGCCACAACAGTGAGAGGCCCGCGTACCGAAGAAAAAAAAAAAAAAAAGTGCACTATGCAGAGACAGCCCCCCACCCCAGCCCAGGGTGGGAATCCTGCCTTAACCCTACCTAGAGAACCAAACGGGAAGCCAGTGCAGCTAGCTCACTCACCTCCCTTCCTCTCACTACATCTCGTGCTTTGTTCCACCCTCATTCCCACTTCATTCTCTGCTCCTCAGTGGGAAGACGGGGTGATGTGCTAAATTCTGCCTGAGCCGTAGAAACTGCTTCATGTCCATGCAGAGTGTGGTGTTTGTCTCCATTTTCTTTCTCCATTTGTGAAGCTCACAAATGGCGTTTTGATATTTTTTGGTCCATGCATTTTTGTAAGAAGCATGCATTATCAAATATTATTCTGTCTTTACTAGCCTGCCCCAAAAGATCAGATTTTCCCATTCTTTTATAGAGAGATTTTCTTTAAGCGTTAAAAATTATGATTTAATTGTAGAATGAAAATTTCTATCAGTGTAGCATTGTCTAAGCCATCTGATTTCCCATCTGACTTGAAGTCTGTGGTTGAAAAAAGACGATATTGACACTGGTAGCAGACCCTTCACGTACATGATCTCATTTACTCCTCCAAATGGAGGGGGTGGGGAATCCTGTGAGGTAGGTATCATTAACCCCATTTTACAGACAGCCTTAGAAGTTTATAGATGAGAAACTTGTCCAGATGGCACAGTAGCAATTTGGAATATAGAGTGAGATTTCCAGGGTTTGAATATCTCTTCTGCCACTTAATAGCTGTGTGACCTCGGGCAAGTTAATTAGCCTCTCTGTGCCTCAGTTTCCTCTCCTGAAAGATGAGGATAATGTAGCGCCTACCTCACAGGGTTGTTGTAAGCTTTTACATTGGTACACATGAAATGCTTAGAAGGATACTGGCATATACCAAGTGCTCAGTAAATGTCAGCTGGGGAAAGAAAAGCTAGAATAGCCAGGAGGATCCCCAGCATAACTAAACTTGAAGGGTCTTAACAACAGCAGATACCCAGTACACATTGCAGATCGAGTGATAGGTTGGACGGTGCTGCAGTTATGTCCTGTGCACCACAGCCTGCTGGTGGTAAGCCACAATCAGTCTCATGAAACACAAGGATTTAAATGGATGTTGTCACTCCCTGCTTCAAGATGCATGCTGGCCTTAAGGCTCTCTTAGACCTTTCTCTGCTGTTCCAGCTTCTCATTCTGACCCCAACCCCACCATCATTTCCAATGTTGTGTCTAAATTTTTAATTTGTTTCAGGGCACTTGAATATCATAAGCGGTTTAAAGGTGGCGCCACTCCAAGTGCATGAAATATTTTTAGCTTCATAAAAATGGTCTCAGAATGCCTTTCATGAAACTCAGTTTGCCTTCGGATTCTCTTCCTCATCACCCATTCCAGTAAAAACAGAATGTGGGCATTCCATTGGTGGCAGACTTACTTTCCCTTGAAAAGGGCCCTTTCAGGTCACTCTTCCCGAGAGTGAAGAATTTTGACCAATAGCTATTAGGTTTTGGTATCAAAAATAATGGAAATTTATATATTACTGCCATATCATTCAGGGGAGGTAGCAGAAGACAAAGAGATGTTAGGATCTCACAGCAGTTGTTTATCTTGAGGATTATAACTGGTGCAGATCAGAGCATCCCTGGCAGAACACTGAGATTCCACCCAGTAATCTCTGTGGCACAGCATCAGCACAGGGCCACTCCTCAGATGTGCGGGTATTTCCACCGTCATGCACAGTGGTTAGGATGATGCTTGCAGTTGCTGCCTTCAGACTTTTCCAGAGTAGGCTGTTCACCTCGAACTCATGACCACCAGTTACAAGCCGTGGGGTGGCTCTGTGGGAGTGGGGCTGCCCTAGTCTCCTGGTGCACCAAGATTAGCCATTTGGTGTTTGGATAGCTGACTCATCCAGTTTAGGTAGTACAGACAACACATGTAGTCACTAATGAAATAGTGACGCGCTGCTGAGAGCAAGAGCTTTCCCACCAGGTGAGTACCAAGGATGTGAGGGAGCAGCTCTCCCTGTACCCCACCCCCATCCCCACAGCAGTTACGTGGTTTGGCCATTGACTCAGCATCGTTTGAGTAAGATCTCTGTATATGTACCAAGCCCTGCCAAAGCCAAGAGGTTGCACCCTGACATGGGCAGATTATAATCATCTAACATCATAATCATATAAGAGCAAACACAAATAGAGCGCTTATACTGCACCAGGAACTGTTCTGAGAGCACTGTATATACAGTTGACCCTTGAACAGCACAGGTCCCCTTACATGTGGGTTTTTTTCGGTAGTAAATACTGCAGTACTGTATGTTCCAAGACTGGTTGAATCTGATTGGTTGAATCCGAGGATGTGGAACTGTAGATACAGAGGAACCGAACTGCATATACAGAGGGCCAACTGACTGTAAGTTATATGCAGATTTTTGACCCTGCGGTGGTTTTGGCACCCCTAACGCACACATTGTTCAAGAGTCAACTGTATTCATTTTATCCTCAAAACAGCCCTATGAAGTCGATACTGGTTTTACCCTCATTTTACAGTTGAGGAAACTGCAGCACAGAGACATTAAGTGGCTTGTTTCAAGTCACACAACTAGTAGGTAGCAGAGCCAGAATTCAGTTTTAGACAGTCTGGCCTCAGAGTTTCTATTTTTATCAACTATTCTATCTTGAATAAATATTACATCCATTTCTAGTTAGGTATAGGCTCTATTAATGTTACACAAATTTAAGGCAGGAAGTATTACTAGAATAAAGAGGGAGAACAATTCAGAAATCAGTAACAAAGAGATAACTAGGAAATCTTCAAATATATTAAAATTAAGAAGAACACAGTTCTAAATAATGTTCAAAGAAGAAATCACAGTGGAAATTAGAAAGTGTTTTGAATGAAATGATAATTAAATTGCAGCATCAAAATTTGTGGGATACTGCTAAAGCAGAGATTAGAGGAGGCTCATAGTTTTATATAAATATATCAGGAACGAAAAAAGTTTGAAAATCCATACTTTAAGTTTTCATCTTAAGCTAGAAAAAAAATTGGCAAACTAAAGCCAAAGAAAAAAGAAGGAATAAAGGTACAGGCTGAAATCAGCGAAATAGGACACAGGCATACAGTAAAGGAAATCAACAGAATCAAAAGTTGGTTCTTTGAAAACATCAATTGCAGTGAAGTGTAAGAAGCACCTCAATACATGTCCTTCCTACTGCTACCCCTGGCAGCTACTAAATTCTGATCTAGGAAATCGATTATAGAGTGGGATTTTTTTAAGCCAGTCCTCCTCCCACAGAAATGCTTTATACCACTGTCAGTATTAGTTTGTTGATTCCCTTTTCAACTGAGTCTCTGCAAATTCTTTTCTAACTGTTCTCCTGTCTCTGTTTGTTCCATGCTAAGCAGATGGCCCAGAAATTAGCCAAAAGCAGGAAGAAGGTGCAGTACAAACAACTTCATCAGCTTGGTGTTATGCCTGTTTTTTTTTTTCCCCCATTTATTTACGTTTTGCCTTTTTTCTTATTTCGTGTTTTTGTTTTCTGCATCCAGCAAGTTTTTGTTCCGATTTCTTTTTGAACCGCCCCATAAGCCAACGTTTCTCAAAACTCGGTTGCCCAAAGTGGCTGTTTTCTGTTGCTCATTAGTCATCTCACTCCAGAGGAATGACAGGGAGCAGATTGGGGGTGCTGAAGGTATCCTGCAGTAGTGTGCAAGTGCCCACCATTCAGGAGCATTCACGTGGCAGGGACCTGGGTCTGCTCAATTCTAGTCATGTTTGATTTGTGGATCTGTCAGATTGCTGGATGCAAAAAAGAAAACTCGCTAATAACCACACGTGTGCAGAGTCAAGCCCTGAGTGAATCAGACTAATGTGCTTTTTTGGTTGTGAAGCTTCTAGGTGCTTATGAGCTACCCATGGGGCACTGAGGCATTGGGGCTCGCTCTTACTGGGGTAGCTTCAGGAGTGGGTACTGCTTCTGTGGTTTGTGGTGTGTGGGAACACGAAGACCCTCTTACCACAGCTGCCTTGTTTGCACCTGCTGTAAGCATTGTCCCCCAGGAGCAAACTCTGACGTCTCCAGGGTCCTGGGGGTATGAGTCAGTTGCCCTTGTTCCTTCAATCTGTTGGGCTCTGAAACCCTTGCAGACAGTGCCATTCACGATCATTGTTCATGGAGTCAGATCTACTACAGTTACTGCTTCCATGGCGGAAGAAGCAAGGAGGGGTCCGCATTTCTCCCTGTAACCTGGAGATGCTCACTCCCGTCCCCGTGTCATCCTCTGTGTGGTCCCTTCAGCTTTGGCAGTCTAGTTCTGAAGTCTGCATCGCTGTTCTGGTGACTGTGTCTCAATGCCTCTGTGTATGAGCTAACCTTGCTTGCACGCACCTGGGTCAGAGTAACGTATTGAGCTTTCTCTTGGTGCATTTTCCTTCTCAGGCCCCTGAAGGTGAATCTCAGCCAATGACTGAAGTGGATCTCTTCATTTCTACCCAGAGAATCAAAGTATTGAACGCCGACACGCAGGTATTAGCTGGCTCCCCCCTTCCTCGGGGGTGAAGCTTAGCATGACAACTAGGAGACTGTGCCCTTGTCTGTAGAGCAGCTGTCCCCAGATGCTGGCTTCCACACAAGCTAGAAGGTTGTGTATGCAGTGCCTGCTGCTGGGCTGGGGGATGGGAAGGGACTTGGTAGGGAGGATTGGGGCTATTAAAGATCAAAGGAAAAAATAAGCCTTGGATATTGTTTGCTAATAATTCTCATAAGTTTTTATCAGAAGATTCATGAACAGACTAGCATTTTAAGAAATTTTGTTTAAAATCACACACACATACACACACACACACACACACACACACACACACACACACAATACAATCATCCAGTCATCACATGCAGATTTTTTATTTTTTAACTTCCCCACCAGAGATTCTAGTGGTTGTAAAATGATTGAAACGCCTTTTCACATACTACAGACCACTTCCTGCTCTGGGTTATCACAAGCCAAGGGAATTGCTCCCAGGCCTGGGTGGGCACATGTAAGTCTGCCAACAGGGTGTTTGCAGCGAGCTCCCACGTGTGGACCGCACTTGGCTGGGCTGTGGGGTGGCAGGCTGTCTCATGGGTCATTCGATGCCGCACTGGACATACCATCCTCTCCCTGCTACCTTCCAGGAGACAATGATGGACCACCCTCTGAGGACCATTTCCTACATTGCAGACATCGGGAACATCGTTGTGCTGATGGCCCGCCGGCGGATGCCCCGCTCCAACTCCCAGGAGAACGTGGAAGCCTCCCACCCATCCCAGGATGGAAAAAGGCAGTACAAGATGATCTGCCACGTCTTTGAATCTGAGGACGTAAGGGCGGCCTCCCTTCCATGTGATCTGGGCTGCCCTTGGGTGGCCAGGTTCCCTCTAGTTCTCAGAACCTTAATCATATGTGAGACAAATACTTATTGAGCACTTATTATGTGTCAAGCACTGTTCTAGTGCTAGGGATATAAGGCTGAGTAAAATAGACAAGATACTCATTGTAAAGCTTGTAGAGAGACAGAAAATAGATAAATATACTTAATATAAAGTTAGGTAGTGGAAGGTTTGATAAGGAAAAACTAGGTCAAGGGATAGAGGGGCCAGGGGCTATTTCAGGTAGAGTGATGAACAAAGTCCTTTCTGAGGTGACATTTGAGCAGAGACCTGAGTAGAGTTGAGAGTGAGGAAAGAGCAGGTGCAAAGGCCCTGAGACAGGGGCCTGCTGATAGAGGTTGAGGAAAGGCAAGGAGGCAAGCCACTAGAGAGGACAGAAGGGTGGGAAGAATTCAGCCAGACCCACAGGGGCCCGAACAGGTCTCACCTGGCCACTAGGGCATTTGGGGAGGACAGTTCTTGGATGTGCAGGACTGCCCTTTCCTAACAGGAAAGTTAGCATCCCTGACCCTTCCCACCAAATTGCAGGAGCACCAGCCACCCACTCCTTAGCAAAACTAGCTGCTCCTCCAGTCACAAAGCTAGTGATCCCTAACGCCCATCTCTCCAGGTGATAAAGTCAGCAGAGGAAATCAGCGTACAACAGAGGTGGGGCCCATTCTTCCATTCAGCCTTCTTACCCAGTTGTCCCTAGAACTGCCGGCGAGAACACCAGGCTTCAAGCTGTGTTAGCATCGTGCTTCCCCCAAAGCTCGACAGGCCTTGGAAACTTGCTCTGGGCCTTGCTTTTTTTTTTTTCTGGCCAAGCCATGAGGCTTGCGGGATCTTAGTTCCCCGACCAGGGATTGAACCTGGGCCCTCGGCAGTGAAAGCACAGAGTCCTAACCAGTGAACCACCAGGGAATTCCCCCCACGATGGTTTTGAACTACAGAGCCTCCCCAAGAGGGCCGTGTTGGTGCCGTTGACTGATCTAACTTTTCCTCCTGCCACAGTGGAATAAGCTGTATTTCTCATATTGAGCAGGGAACCCTTATATACTTAAAGAAGATTGCCTACAGTAGCCTTGGCTCCTTAAAAGGGGCCATTTTTCTCCAGAAGAGTGTTCATCCAGCTGCTTTAAATGGCCTTCCTCTGAGAAGTTAGGAGTCTGAGGCGAGCTGCTTTTCTCCAGGGAAACAGAGCTGACATGGCTGTAGCCACAGACAGGAGGAGACGCTTACACTTTTGTACCATCTTTTACTTGTCTGGTTCTCTAGAAAGCAGTCCCAGGGACACGGTCACTGAGAAGGCAGAGAGCTTGAAGCACCTGTCCTGGCCATTCTCCCCGCTTTTCCTTTAAAACTGAGGCCAAACCTGCAAACTGGGAGAAAATGAGTTTAGAAGGTTCTCGGAAAGTTCCAAAGGAGTTACATTTAGAATCTTAAGTTTCATGTGTTCTGCAGGCCCGTGAAAAGGTGGAGTTAGCTCTGCTCACCAGACATGAGGGTCCCGGTACGACCCTCTGCCACCTCCCTCTGGCTTAGTGCTCCTAAGGAGGGCTTTCTTTCCCTTGGGGCTCCTTTGGGTCTGTAGGGGGAGATGATGAAGGGGAAGAACGAGGAAGCAAGAGTGGACCTGGGAATCTTACTGCTTTGCTTCCAAAGCCCAGGACAGAAGGGGGAGAGCATGGGCTGCAGAACTGGGAGGACTGTTTGTGGATCCCGTCTCCCGTTCTGCAGAAGCTCAGGCTGTGCAGCTGCTGAGCTCCTGCAGAACGGACTGCCGTGCGGCTCAGGTGGACACGGCAGAGATATAAGTAGCCTGTGTGTGTTTGCCCGGTGCGTCTACACGTGACGGTCAGGAGGACCGCTGGCCGTGTTCTCAGACACACTTTTTTTAGTTCGTCTGTTCACACGAGCCTCTGAGGCCCACGGTGATGCCTCGGCAGGAGGCAGCATGGTGGTCCTTGATGTGACTTGTAGCATGTGACGTCACCAGATCCTCAGAGTGAGAAAAGTTGAGCATTTCTTTCCCCACCGCCAGCCACGCAGAAATTTCTGATATCACAGTTAATTAGCTGCTTTCAGCAAAAATTACCAAAGGTAGGGAAAGGAGGAGTGCAGACTGGAGTTGTGTGTGTTTGAAACATTGCCCTAGAGCTTTTTGTTGTTTTGCGGGCTTTCTACCCACTACTATTAGAGCAGCAGTCCCAGTGGTGGGCAGGAGGTGGGCTCCGGAATCAGGCTGCCAGGATTCTCAGCCCCCATCCCCACCCCAGCTTAAGCTCTCAACCTCGTTTTCCTGATCTGCCCAATGGGAGCAAAGAAAACAGATCCGAAGTCTAAGAGCTCTGAGAAACAAGGGATTTTTGTACTCGATTGGTTGATAAACCTGCTTTGAGCTGCCACGAGACACTTTATAGGATTTGTCCAGCTTACCGTGAATCTTACACATTTGTTGCAGGAACGTTACTGTGTTTAGGCACTTCTCCAGGCTCTAATGGGGTTTTTACACAATGTATGATAAAGGCACCCTGTTACCTTTCTAAAATGTGAACATTTCTGAATTCTGAAACACTGCCTTCAGAGCTTAGGATGAGGGCTTATGGACCAGTCATACTTACATCGTAGACTTGCTGTGAGGATTTATGTAACGGTGCTTCTACAGCATTTAACACAGCACAGGCTCAGTTGCTGGTGTCTCTCCCAGGTTGTAATGTTGGTTAATTAATGCAGGGAAAGGTTATCAAAGCCCAGTGCAGGAGAAAGAACAACAGAAGCAGAGTTCCTGTCCTGTGAGCGGTGTGACCTTCCTTGAACAGGTTCCTTCACGTCTCTGGCCGCAATCTCCTCACCTGGAAAATGCATAATAATTTGTAATGTCCCATCCATGGATAATATGAATGAAATGAAATTCATAGATAATGTAACCTCCCTTTTTGAAAAGTTTTTCACAAAATAAGCAAAGTATTGCCATAAATATAACACAAAGGAGAAATGAAAGCAAGCTAAATAAAATAGGTTGATAGACACACACTCACACACACATGCAGAACCACCATGCTCTACGGCCAGTGTGCAGGCTGATGGGAATGTGATTTATTGGCAACCCACATCCCATGAATAGCATTGATGCTGACGATTTTCCAAAGTCATGAAGCTTACTCGTGGTAAAGTGTTGGACAAAACAAAATACCGTCTTCTCTCAATTTACAGAATAGTTGTATTCTTGGACTGTTCAGTGTGTATTAGAGCGTGCAACTAAAGTCCTGTGTTTTTATATAAATTAGAGTTGAGTGCCAGCCTTTAGACACAGTTGTTATATGTACATGAATGTCCAGTGGGATACTTGAAAGTTGTGCAGGATGTAAAACAGGTCGTCCCGTGTAGGACTGTCCTTTGCACGGCAGTAGGTCCAGCATCTCTGACTCCTGTCCACCAAATGCCAGGAGCTCCATCAGGACCATTGTCATAGACAAAATTGTCCCCACTAATTTTGAAAATGACCTCTAGCAGGCACTGCTGCCCCATGGTGACCCACTGGGCTAGCTGCTGCCTAGGGCCCTGTAGTCCTGAGGGACCCAGGTCGCCCACCAGCAGTGCTGCCCTGTTGACCCGGTCTCCCCTTTCCGGCTCCTCTCCAGGCTCAGCTGATTGCACAGTCCATCGGGCAGGCATTCAGCGTGGCATACCAGGAGTTCCTCAGGGCCAACGGGATTAACCCCGAAGATCTCAGCCAGAAGGAATACAGTGACCTGCTCAACACCCAGGACATGTACAACGACGACCTGATCCACTTCTCCAAGTCGGAAAACTGCAAAGATGTAGGTACTTCCCAGAAGCTGTTCTCTGAGCTGGGCCAGCCGGGCCCACCCGCGATAGAAGTGAAGGCAGAGTGGCTGGGCTGAAGAGTGAGCTCAGGCCCATCTCTGTCTCACCTCACATGAGGCCCGATAAAGACTGCAGCCGAGGGCCGTGGCCAGTGAGACAGGGCGTCGTCTGCTCCCTGCAATCCAGAGCTGACTTTGGGGTGGGTTCCAGAGGCAAACGGGACCTGAACCCTGCCCTTTACCAAGCCCACAGTCTAGGAAAGGGCACAGAAGATTTTAGATGATGGTGCTGGTACAGGCACTCGTCAGAGACAGCTGTACTTGGCAGGTTGGAGCCGATCTCGGCTCTCAGGTCTCAGATGATAAGTGCTGTGCTCCCCCAGGGACCGAGCTCTGCAGGAGTGTCTGGAGGAAAACGGGGCCATCTGATCTGGTCTGAGGTCTGAGTATTCTTTGGAAAGTGTAGAGGAGTGCAGAGGGCTGAGCCAAAGTAACAGAAGCACGAGGGTCCGAAAGCTCAGGAATTGTCTGGGGAGCCACGAATGAGGCAGCCAGGCTGCAGCAGGGATTGTGCATAGGAGAGGATGTGAAGAGGCCAGTACAGGCTTTGGGTCAGAACTGGAGGGCTTGAGAGTCCAGCTGTGGTGAGGGGCCTGGACTTTATCCACTAGGTGTGAGAAAGTGATCTTTCTATCCACTAATGAATGTTAAGTGTCCTAGGCTCCCTGGAAGCAGAGCCTGAGATGGGAATTCTTGTACATGGGATTTGGGGGAAGGGTGCACTCAGGAAAAAGTGAGTGTGGGCGGCAGGGTGGTGGGGATGCCAGGGAGGAATGTGACCTTGCTGGAGATGAGCATCATCCTGATCCAAAGGGAAGCTCCAGCTCACACATCGCAGGACGGACCTTGTCCCACCTAGGGCCAAAAGAGCTGGCAGGCCTTTGTAGCCTGTACTAATCAATCATTGACACCAAGGTCAGACGGAGGTGTGTTAGGGTGCTTGGGCTGCTGTAACAAAGTTCCCCAGACAGGTGGGGCTTCAACAACAGAAATGTATTGTGTCACAGTTCTAGAGGCTGGAAGCCCGGGATCAAGGTGTCCGCAGGGTTGGTCCCTTCTGAGGGGAAGATGCATTCCAGGCCGCTCGTTTGCCTGTAGATGGTCATCTTCTCCCTGTGCCTTCACTCTGTGCATGTCTCTGTGTCCAAATTTCCCCCTTTTGTAAAGATACCGATCATATTGAACTAGGACCCACCCTAATTATTTTAACCTGACTGCCTGCGAAAAGATCTTACCTCCAAACAAGGTAATATATGCCATGGACTATAGAGAGGACAGGACGCATTTGGGTTGGAGGCATCAGGGAAATGTCTGTCATGTTTAGTCAAGACAGGAATAGGGAAAATGCTTTGATTTCTGTTGCTACCCTGGATGGTTGCTGATTCAGGCTTTCTCCATGTTTTCCTCCTTTCAGGTCTTCATAGAGAAGCAGAAAGGGGAAATCCTAGGTGTGGTGATTGTGGAGTCTGGCTGGGGATCCATCTTGCCAACCGTGATCATAGCCAACATGATGCACGGAGGCCCAGCGGAGAAATCGGGGAAGCTGAATATTGGGGACCAGATCATGTCCATAAATGGCACCAGCCTGGTGGGCCTGCCTCTGTCGACCTGCCAGAGCATTATTAAGGTAACTGGAGATGGGAAAAATCAACCTCTCTTGTAGACCTGAAGTGAAATGAAGTCATCAACTTTTGAGCGTATTTTAAGTGTCAGGCACTGAGAAGGACACAAATACAAAAGGCATGGACTTGCACTTGGGTTGTTTACCATCAAGTTGCTATTTACCAATTCCTCCCTGAAATTGTTTTTTCAGGGATGGTATATCTGGCTCACATAGCATCACTCACTAACACCATGCCCTTGCAGACATCACTAATCAATCACAGCATTCTGTCCCATTAAGCCCCCACTCAGCCTCAACAGAATTTTCCTCAGCTCAGTAATCAAGACGATCACTTATAGTCAGCTGGGTGTTCTTGAGATGACTTGCCATCCCTGTTACAAATCATGGAAATGCTTCAGATCCCAGGGCACTTTCCTTTACTGTGATCCAGGTGAGTGTATCCTCCCCAGAGCCTGTGTAACATGATCCACACATGCCACGTAGAAGGAAGGAAACTGGTACAGTCTGCATACTCCTTCTAAAACCTGAACATAATTACTTCTTGTTCAGCCTGAATTGATACTGTTGTGTGAGGCTGAGAAGAGCTACTTAAAGGAAAATTGAATACGAGTATTTGAGGGCAAGAAATTAGATTTTCTTAGAAATGAAGTATCCATGTGTAGTCTCTTGAGTGCATTGGAACTCGCTGATTGCATGGGAAGTAGGAACAAGTATATTTTTCCTTCACTACAGTATCTGTAGACCCTGCCAGCTCTGTACCAAGCGGTGTGGTACAGGCAGACTAGGATCCTATGACTTTCTTTGGTTCCTTGGGGTTTCCTGAAAGACTGTTAACTAGAATATAGCTCTGTATGTGTGTGTGTGTGAGAAAGAGAGAGAGAGAATAAATGTGAATTTATAGAATAGTTATTCTAAGCAGAAGAAAATCACAAAAGAACATCCTTGGCCAAGGGCCCTGGGATGGAGGGGAGGTCAAGGTGAGTATATAGGCCAGACATGTCTACCTCGTTGCATTTTTTGTTTGTTTTTTATGTTATATAGGAATTCATCTTTTTCTCTTTCTTTTTCCTGCTTTTTTTATCAGTATTTTTTATTGAAGTATGGTTGATTTATAATGTTGTGTTAATTTCTGCTATACAGCAAAGTGATTCAGTTATACATATATATACATTCTTTTTTTAATACATCCTTTTCCATTATAGTTTATCATAGGATATTGAATATAGTTCTCTGTACTATACAGTAGGATCTTGTTCATTCATCCCATATATAAAAGCTTACCTCTGCTAACCCCAACCTCCCACTCCATCCCTCCCCCAACCCCCTCCCCCTTGGCAACCACCAGTCTGTTCTCTATGTCTGTGATTCTGTTAATGTTTCATAGATAGGTTCATTTGTGTCATATTTTAGATTCCATGTAGAAGTGATATCATATTGTATCTGTCTTTCTCTTTCTGACTTACTTCACTTAGTACGATAATCTCTAGTTGCATCCATGTTGCTGCAAATGGCATTATTTTGTTCTTTTTTATGGCTGAGTAGTATTCCATTGTGTATATGTACCACATCTTCTTTATCCATTCATCTGTCAATGGACACTTAGGTTGTTTCCATGTCTTGGCTATAGTGAATAGTGCTGCTATGAACATAGGGGTGCATGTATCTTTTTGAATTATAGTTTTATCTGGATATATGCCCAGGAGTGGGATTGCTGGATCATACGGTAATTCTATATATTTTTAGTTTTCTGAGGAACCTCCATACTGTCTTCCACAGTGGCTATCTGACCAACAGTGTAGGAGTGTTCCCTTTTCTCCACACCCTCTCCAGCATTTGTTGTTTGTAGAATTTTTAATGATGGCCAACCTGACTGGTATGAGGTGGTACCTCATTGTAGTTTGATTGCATTTCTCTAATAATTAGCGATGTTGAATATCTCTTCATGTGCCTATTGGCCATCTGTATTTCTTCTTTAGAGCAATGTCTGTTTACGTCTTCTGCCTATTTTTCGATTGGGTTTTTTTGTTTTTGAGCTGTGTGAGCTATTTGTATATTTTGGAAATTAAGCCCTTGTCAGTCATATTGTTTGCAAATATTTTCTCCCATTCTGTAGGTTGTCTTTTCATTTTGTTTTGCATGTTTATTTTTTTTAAGTTTATTTATATATTTTTGGCTGGGCTGGGTCTTCGCTGCTGCATGGGGGCTTTGTCTAGTTGCGGCGAGCGGGGGCCACTCCTCGTTGAGGTGTGAGGGCCTCTCATTGCAGTGGCCTCTGTCGCTGCAGAGCACGGGCTCCAGGTGCACGGGCTTCAATAGTTGTGGCTTGTGGGCTCTAGAGTTCAGGCTCAGTAGCTGTGGCGCTCGGACCGAGTTGCTCCGCGGCATGTGGGATCCTACCAGACCAGGGCTCAAACCCCTGTCCCCCACATTAGCAGGCGGACTCCCAACCACTGCGCCACCAGGGAAGCCCTGCCTGTTTATTTTTAATGAAACAAATCTAAATCCTCATAAGATAATCACACCCAGAAAGAAATAGTTCTTTTTGGGCTCATTTCTTTTCGTTATAAATAAATTCTACCTCTTGCTTAACATACATTAAAGATAAGATTAAAGGTCCTAGTTTGAACATGTATATTCATTCAAACATGTTTAATTGGGCTTCTGTTAGCCTGAGCTGAACTGTGAAGAAGCCAGAATGAAAAAAATAAAAGTATAAAAAGCCAGAATGACAGTATGCACATGGAGGATAATTTATAATTGAAAGCGTTCAGTGGGCCCTAATGGCAACATAGAGGTGAAATGCTAAGAGCATTTGGAGTGGGGGAGCGGAAAATCTTGCCTGATTTTTTGTTTTTTTTTTTGAGGTACGTGGGCCTCTCACTGTTGTGGCCTCTCCCGTTGCGGAGCACAGGCTCTGGACGCGCAGGCTCAGTGGCCATGGCTCACGGGCCCAGCCACTCCGCGGCATGTGGGATCTTCCCAGACCGGGGCGCGAACCCGTGTCCCCTGCATCGGCAGGCGGACTCTCAACCACTGTGCCACCAGGGAAGCCCTACCTGATTTTTAAGGTGGGCCTTGAAGGAGGAGTTAGACTCAGGTGCCTAGCAGAAAGGAAAGTGGCCTTTGGGAGTTTCTTCTGGAATTGATGGATGGTGGACTGGCTTTGTGTTGGGAGAGGCAGGTCTGAGCCAGCCTGAGAAGGCTGATCTGATGGTGTGATAATGTGCGGAAGCCAGGGAGGGCCAGGAGTAGGGAGAAAGGACCCACCCACGTTTGGCTTCTCACTCACACATGCCAAGGTTCACAGATGCCCTCTCACACCAAGGAGCAAGTTACTTATTAAACACCGATGCATGTGTGAGAACTGTCGAGGGGCCATGGGAGCCAGAGATGCCTCAGACACAATCCGTACCCTAAGGAGCTTGGCCTCGATGGGGAGAAGGGAATGAAATGACTGATAATAACAGTGACTGAGTGCTGTGCGCCTGGACCATTCTGAGAATGTGTGTGTTCGCTCGCAGAACCCTACAGCAGCCTTCTGTAGGGTAGGTGCTATTGTGCAAGTTAGGAAACAGGCACAGCAAGATGATGTAATCATTCGAGGTCACACAGTGTGTCAGTAGTGCAGCCAGGTCACTCGGCCACCCTGATATCGTTCCAGCGGTGTCTGTGGTCAGACCCTGGGGCAGTGGTTCTCAACCTGGGGGATCTTGACCCCTTGACCCCCCGGGCGTCATTTGGCAATGTCTGAAGACAGTTTGGGTTGTCACGACTAGGGAGAAGGAGATGCTACTGGCATCCAGTGGGTGGAGGTCAGGGATGCTGCCAGATATCCTACAATGCACAGGACAGTCCCCACAACTAAGGATTATCCAGCCCAAATGTCAATAGATTGAGAAAGCCTGCCTGCGGGAGATAGTTCAGGTGTGGGAGAGAAATCTGGAGAAAGGGAGGTCAGTGAGGGAGGGGGGGGAGTTGATGTACGTCTGGAAAGGCTTGGGGAGGAGGAGCCAGAAGAGAGGATAACTTGAGCGCAGGTGGGGCTGGGGCCTGGGTGGGAATAAGCAGACCTTCCTGAGGACTGGCAAGGCTGCGTGCCTGGGCCCATTTACACACCTGCCCGGCAGTGCCCAGCCCTTGGCACTGGTCACCTCCCTTCCTCTTCATAAAAAACAGCCTGTGAGGGAGGGTGATGGCAAATGCCTGGTTCACAGATGAGTCATCAGCTACTCAGAAGGTGCAGACAGCATGCCCAGGACACCCCAGCTGACGGAGTCCAGATCCCCGTCCACCCCTCCCTGCCTCTGCACAAAGGAGGCAGACGAGGTGAGGGAGGCTGTGAGACCCATGGCCTGCCTTCCCCTGGTACCACACGGGGACTGGTCTTCTGTCCAGTGCATCACACATCAAGGTGGAAACAGACTAGCACAGGGCGTAATTGGCGCACTGTCTGAGCAGTTTCCTAAGGGGAAAAGGTTTGTTTGCACCAGTAGCTGACCTTTGATGTCTATAAATGGAGTCTCTCTGGAATCGGAAAATTAAAAGGCCATGTGGTGATGAAAGAGATGTAACTGATGAAGATGGAGAGGAAGAAAGCCAGCACCTCTGTGGCCACCCTCGGCAGAGAAGTACTTAGCAGGCAGGCCCCAGCTGGGACACAGCTGCCCTTTCTCAGCACTGCAGGATGCGCTGCCTTGTCGAATAGAAAAGGGTGATTGGCCCTGTCCCCTTCTCCCCCCACCCCGAGAATCTTCCTACTGATTCCAGCTAGAATTGCCAGTACCGAAGAAGACGTTTAATGGGTTGTCTCCGTGTTTTTAAGTTCCGTAAAAACATATCTTTTTTGCCTGCCCCTGAGCAGGTACTCACACTGCCCCACCCTCACCCCTAGGCCCCCACAGGGGGGCATTCTGGGCTTCTTCAAGGCTTCCCATCAGTATCGCTTGTTTCAGTGTTATGTCAGTGCTCCTTGCGATGAGTTTAGCGAGCAGCTCTCATCCTGG